ATTAAATTGAATCAAATTAAATCAAATTAAATCAAATAGAATTGAATCAAATGAAATCGAATCAAATGGAATCAAATGGAATTGAATCAAATGGAATTAAATCGAAAGGAATTGAATTGAATTAAATTGAATCGAATTAAATAGAATCAAATCAAATCAAATTGAATGGAATCAAATCGAATCGAATGGAATCGAATCGAATCGAATCGAATAGAATCGAATTGAATTAATTTTATTCGATTCGATTCGATTTTAAAATATATAAAAATCGATTCAAAAATAAAATCGAATCGAATCGTTAGGATCCTTAATTATCATTGCATACATTCATGTGACCATGCAATTTCCCTTTCACAATAGTGAAGAAAGAAAACAGAAAGATCAAGTCCAGTGTCATGAGAAGTATGATGACCTGGTCACATGGATTATTCAGACAGCAGCTGATACACAAAGCCAAGGAAACAGGTCTGAAAGTGATCATCCAAGACGAGGCGTTCACTTCAAAGACCTGTTCGTGGTGTGGTAACATGCAAAATATAGGTGGTAGAAGGATATACAAGTGTAAGAATTATGGTCTCGCCATAGACAGAGACGTGAATGGAGCGCAAGAGATATTCCTTCATGCGTTGCTTGATGGAGCCATACACATGCGTATGTAGGAATTAGTAATCCAACTAGCAATGTCTAGTAAAGATTATTAATGATGTATTACAATCCATCCATTTCAAACGTAATGCAAATCGTAATAATAGACCATGTGTACATCAACCTGGGCTGATGACGAAGCGGCAAATAACTATTATTTAGAAATATAAATTGCATTGATTTAATTGATACCCATGTCGTAATAAAAGAGGATTATACAATGAATAAAGTTTTGGATAGCTGCAATCCAGGCACAGAGTGTTATTCTTCGCAGATGATATAAAACAATAAATGCTAATAAAATTAAACAGAAAAGATTTATTTTTGGAATTTTACATTAATAATCTTCGCTATTCGATTCATATATTTCTAGCAGATTCCATGCACTTCTTGCAATAAATGTCAATTCCATCCTGAACCTTTATAAAAAATACAAAGTTGGACTGAAAATCATATGGCCAATGTTCATACACTGCAAGATATTAGTTCCGTTAATAAAGGGTATATGATAGGTAGCATGCGGGAACAAGAGCTTGAAGAATCTTTACATCATAGTTTAAAGCCTATATCTGAGCTTAATGATTGCAATGAAGTATTACAGGATAGGTTCCTTAACAAGCGAGTTTGGTCAGGAGGGGAATAGATAGGATCAGGATTTAAGACGAGTTGATACACATAATTGTCAAATTCGTACAAATGCTATACAACTTGTTAATGATGTCGTGCGATTGAAAGTAGAAAATACTTCATAGAATTCACAAGCTGTGTATAACCAAATATAACGCTCTATTGAAAGAAATTAAATTTCTCCAGGGTATAATTAGGGTATTAAAAGGTAAGATAAATTCAACCCAGATAGACGCGCTCATTACTCAAAAAAAAATAGTAAAAAAAAGAATCCGAAATCCAGTCTCTAAAGATTAATATAGATTAATTAACCCTAAAAGTTGGTCTGAAATCAGATGGTATAGAAGCATTGCTGAAAGCAGACATGATGAAAGAGCCATCCACTCTGTGTCTAGAATGCTCACTTCGTGAGTCGGCACTTGTGATGGGTAGAGATGATTGAAAAAATATATCGATCTCCGATGGTATTAATATCTAGCATGTAGAAAAAGTAAAGATCAAGTTATCTTCGTCTAAAAAATCGATACCACCGTACAGGCTCGTAATGATAAAAGTATTCTTACATCCGAATCTCCACTATCCCATGACGAAGTAGTTAACTCTGACCTGAAGCTTCCACATACTGATATTAAATTAATATAAACGATATCCCAGAGGATATGTATGCAAACTCTGATGTGCCATTAAGTATGACTCTATACCTTGTACAAGAGAACAAATTATGTCATCAGATCTCGATAGAAGGGATAGGAGCGGTTCCTACTGTGGCAAGTCGTTTAATGTCACCACCATCGGCATATACAATATACTACTCACCTTATTAATTATAGCAACTACATGTTCTTTATATTAAGACTCGAACGGGGAGTTTATAAAAAATCAATCAGTTGCGAGGTGTGTGGGTCGGGTGATAAATGTATATTTAAATTTGGATAAAAAAAATTTAATAAAGGTTAATATACTTTGACAGCTAGATTATATAAAGGCTTTTATGTAATATAATTTTAATCAGAATATTATAATCAGAAAAATATAGGCAAACATTATATCATGTGATTTCAGATCCTTAAGCACATTATTAATCTTTTTTACAGCTTTTTTTTCCTCCCTCATCCATATCGAATGGTTCTTTCAACAAAAGCACAAATCATCAAAAATTAATTTTCTATAATTGTCTAATAATGAGCTGGTCCCAGAATAACTATTCTATCTCGCCCTATTTGCTAATGGATTTATAGATAATCTTTTATTCTTACCATAATATTAAATGGAAACCTTTTGGATCAAAAATTGTTAGATGATCATTAAAATTGCTTTGTGGTATCTTAGAAATATCTCCTTTTTTAACATCAACTTGTTATATATTAGGAGAACCTCGTACATTTATATACTATATATTCCTTGAGAAAATTTCTTCCATGGTGCTAAAACTGTATTGTTATTAATTTTATTATGCCAAATGCAAAAGATTTTGCGTCGCAGTCTTATCTGAATCATATGATTAAACTAAACTTGATGATGATGTATATAGTATATAAGCGCTCGATTTAAGTATCAACAAAAAAATGATACTTTAAGATATTAAAAAGGTTACACTCCAAGATAATCCAAGGTAAGAGCCTTTTCAGATTAACAAAAGGTCGATTTTTTTTTATACAAAATCAAAGTATTCTAAAATACCAAATATGCAAAAAAAGTTCTAAATCGAAAAATATAGTAAATTTGTCAATGTAAAATTATTATATTATACTTTTGGATGTTATCAGGTGGAAATAGTAATTGATACTATGTACCTCAGCCTTGATCGATTTGATATTTGAATCTATTATAATAACAGTCAACAATTCGGCACTATATGACATATTCTCGGCAATATTTAATAGCATTTACTCGAGAATATGGTTAGATAGCATACCCGATGGCATAATTAGATGGCATACAGGATGTCCATATAAAAATTAAATAAATACGGTATATCATTTTAAGATTCAAAATAAATTTATTTATTAATTAATACATTATTTGTATTTGATATTTTAATTTTAATAAAAAATTTTGTTATATTGCTTTTAAATCACTTTTTAAATACTGTAAATCAAAAATAATTTATTTGTAAATTTATGTGCTTATATATTTTTTAATTTTATACAAAATATTTAAAAATATGATATAAAGGTTTTAAAATAAAAAATAAAATAAGTTTTTATAAAATATAAACATTTTAAAATTAGATTTTTTAAAATTATAATTTCTAAACTTTATTGTTACAATTATATAATAATAAATTAATAATAAATAATTGATATTATTTGCTATTCAATTATTGATACATTAATTATGTTTTTTATAAAATAAATTATTTTCAAAAATATAATATATTTTAAAAATATTATATTATTAAGTATAATATTTAATAAATTTAGATTCTTAAATTATCTTATTGCAAAAAAAAATAATACTACTGTATTTATATTAATAAAAATAAAATCTACAATATTGAGTTAAATATATATATATATATTTTTTTTTTAAGTAGGTAAACACCAGTTCTTTATTTATTTCATACGTATCATG